ACCTTCATCAGTCAGTCAGTTATGTGCCATGCGTTATACACGCTTAGGCGATCATGTATCTTTCGATACATGAGAAACGATTTCCCGCAGTAGGTTACCATTTCTTTCTGCGGTAGAGCAGTTGCCATCCAAGGCTATAGAACCTGGTCGGTTCTGCTATTTACCCATAGCTGAGGGAGAAGAGGAGGATTCATACCTTTTCTAAGGGTATTAGAACTTAAGTGAATGCAATGGATAGGACTGGAATTCCAACTCGGCTCTCCAATTCCTCAATCCGTGCCGCTATTTATTACTCCGCCGAACGACGATTGGATTAAGCCAAAATATTCGTCAAAAAATAGCATAACCCTTGAGCTTATATAGAATGCCAGTGTACCAAACCCTGTCGAATGCCTTCGAGATATCTAAAGCCTCGCTGTTCTTATCTAACGCCTAACAGACAAATTCAAAGATAAATGTTAACATATCGACGGTAGAGCTAGAGAAACGAAATCCGTAGTCTTTATCAGAAAGAAGGCCGTGTGAAGTGGCATGCTTAACCAATTCGGCGTTGATTGAATCTCTAGTACGAGGGGTCAGATTATTCACCTGAGTGGTAACGACAGGAACTACAGAACCTAATGTCCAAGAAAGTGAAAAGCAAGAAGCTGCGAAGCATTTATTATAGAGTTTGGAGAGAACATGGCCCACTTCAGGGGTACATTTCTTTAAGACAAATGCAGGAATACCGTAAAACCCGCTAGCCTTGGGGGATCTAGTTTAGAAATGACAGCATAAACCATGGACGGAGTTGTGCGCATATCACTTAATAGAGATTCCGTTCTAACGGGGAATCAGGCGAAGATACACCTGAAATGTCGAAAGTGGAGATTGATGAAAATTTCTGAGCTAAGCATTTTTTATCTGCAGTAGGTAACAGTACCGCAAACTAATTGAAAAAAAGCGGGAATGAGGCTTTACTCTTGTGCAACACACTCTTACACAGCCGCTAGTAATCTCTAGAACCAAACGTTTGAGACGCTATACGGTGTCTTATTCTATTAGTCAATAAGTGACTTGTCTTGTTGAGGACACGCTTACACTCATTATGAGCAGGTACAAAGAGAAGTCTGTTATGATCAAAACTGTCACGTTGGTATATCTAGAAGTGATTCCTGTGGGCTATAGCGGCTGAACAGAAAGGAGTAAAACAAAAAGATTGCAGGTTCACTTGGCATTTCCGTGCTAGCACGAAAGTTTCATTGTCAGCTTTCATCCAGGAAAAGATCTCGGTGCGACAATTCTCAACGGGAAGATTAAAGATATCATTCCTTGGGGCGTCGCGAAGAAAATCATGAAATGAGTCCTAATCAGTGCGTTGCTACCAAAAATATGCTTTGTTAATAGGTGGTTCTTGTCTGATAGGACAGATTGGGACCTATAGCTTTGGATGGCAACCGGTCTAGGAGAAAGATAACTCTGAATTCAAACCTCCAATGGGCAGACAGTAGAGCAGACTGAGCTCTTCAACCATGGTTGGCAACCAGTCTAGGAGAAGGACAACTTTGAAAATAAAAACCGTATTTACTCTTGTTTGGAGAGAACAAGAGTCACTTTAGGAGTTCATTTCCTTAGGACTAATGCAGGGATACCGTAAAATCCGCTAGCCTTGGGGGATCTAGTTTAGAAATGACTACTGGTGAAGCACTTAGTATGCAGCTAATAAAAAGATCGTGTAGCTTACATTGACTCGATGATCACGACTGCGGTTAGTCTTGATGATATTGCCTAATAGACGAGCGAAAATAAATATCTACAGACACTACCGCGTGGCCAAAGTTACCAAGATGATAGCTGCAAAATATGACATGAGTCCAGGGAGGATAGAAGAAAGAAGTCTATACATATATACATATAATCCCGGGGATAAAGGTATTTTAACCATCACGCTTATTTTATAAATTGAAAATTCTCACCTGACGGTATTTGTATTTGGCAAAAAAAAAAACCCCCAAAAAAACAACAAATTACACGGTTCTGAGTAAATTACATTTATGATAATTTCCTTTCTTTTCTATATTGCCACGATAAAATATTGCATTGTATCAATGCAAGTACGTGATTGTCTTGAAAAGTTCTTGGCCCCACCAAGACGAATGGCCTCAAGCCGTCAAACATAACATGATTATCGACATCGTTTTCTATAACCCTTAAACGATAAATTGATATTTGCTCATTGAAAGACACATTTGCCGGAGGTGTTTGGACCGAGAACTTTTCAGCAACCATTTACAGGTTTTATTCGACACTTATGGCACGTAGAAACTCAGTTTACACGCCTTCGGTTTCATTATTCTTTGCAAAGAAAGATTAAAAAGTAATTTAAAATTTCACGCAAGACTTGGCACGAATTTACTGTTTATTGTGAGTGAACGTTAGCATTACGTCGCCATTTAAGTAGTCGTGTGATATTTGTAATATCTTTTGAAAGCTGTGAAAACCAGAACGAAGCCAAAGAGACAGTCGTTTTGCTAAAGATTTGTCTTCTTTAGAAATCAAACTGGGAACAGTATATTTTTAGGTGGTGGGAGCATTTCAGGAATATTTCTTTCTTTTCTACACACGTTCTTGTTTCGACAGTGAAGTTATTTCCTAAGTGTCTTATCTGATATCATTTACAAGGCATGCACGAAAAGGATCACGGACATACTGGAAGTCTACGGCAGATGTTCAGACGAACTACATTCCTTAGTTCCGTCAGTCTAGACCTTCACAGAAAGAACCCGTCATGTCACGTACAAAAAGTGGACTCATCCTTATTCCCTTCGTCTTCCATTGGTAAGGAGGAAGTTCCACTCACACAGCTTCTTCCCCAGATTATGGAACTGACTCCCAAAAAGATACTTCTCCGATCTCTACGATCTTAAGCTTTTCAAGTCTAGGGTCAACCTTTATCTATCCTACATATCATCACCTATTACGCCATTCCTTGTAAGGCCGTGCAACAACTGTATTCATGAACCCTCTACCTTTGGTGGCTCTTGAGGCTTGTATTGTGTAAAAAATAGTATAAAAATAAAGATAAAATATAACCATCACTAATCCGGTATGATAGAAGCATGTACTGCGTCTGGTTAGTTTTGCCGGATTACTGATAGTTACAGTAAAATTCATTTAACCTAACAGCTATTCACTTGATCGTACCTTTAAAATATACTGTAAATCAGTAAATATTGGCTAAAAAAGGAAGAAAAAAGTTTTGTCAACTATTTCTTGTAAAAGTTTTCCCTTACCTGTTATGGAAAATGTTTTGTGTTTGCAATTCAACCCACAAGAAGTACGTCCTCTCGTCATAGGAGACATGACTGGGGCTAAATATTTGCAGGTTATAATAAAAAAGATAAATAGTGTTTATCAGTGTTTGAATGGTAATAATAATATTAGCCGTTTCCTTATAAGGACATATTCAGCATCTATTGCCCGAGTAGCCAGTACAGCTGTCGGTTGGAATTTATAAAATCTTTCTCTTGAAACGTTTTTTTTTATAGCAACGGAGGGTGAGAAGAAGAGACTAAGCATAAACTACAAGCAAACAGAATGGATGTCATTAGTAAAAGGATGAGCCCAAAATGCGATTTGCAGGTCGGGAACACTAGAATCAAGCAGACGTGGAAGTTTAAATATCTGGGAAGCGTTTTGACAGAGGACGGTAAATGCGACACTAAGATCCGTAGACGTATTGGGATGGCCAAGGACTCATTCCAAAAGCTGGGCAGCGTATTGCGAGACAGGAGGATTTCTTTGGTAACAAAGAAAAGAATATTAAGCTGTTACGTGAAATCTATCCGTCTTTACGGCAGCGAATGTTGGACGATTTCCTCAAAGAGGAAGAAGAGACTTGAGGCGATGGAGATGTGGTTCTACAGAAGGATGCTAAGGATATCATGGACCAAGCGTGTGAGCAACGATGAGGTCCTAGAGAAGATTCAAACAAGGAGGAGGCTTATACTTAATATCAGGAAGAGGCAGCTGAAGTTTATGGGATGCATAATGGGGAAGGAGTACCTGGAGAACCTGATACTCACGGGTCGAATAGATGGAAAGACAGACAAGGGAAAACAATGCATGACATACTTAGCGGTTTTGAGCAAGTGGATGACAGAACGTCGTCTGGGGGAGATGGCAGAGGGAAGGAAATTGTTGAGATTTGGAAGGGATATAGGAAGGCGGAGAGCCGTGATCGCCTACGTCCTGAAAGGAGATGGCGCATAAAAAGAAAGAAAATAATTTTTCAGGGAAAATGGGTTTCTCGAGTCTAGTAGCTGTTATCGATCTTTCCAGTATTGATGGGGATTTCCTTCCTAACCTTTTAATGTATTGTGGAATATCAATATCTTCATTGTCATTTTTTTTCTATTTGATTTACTTGTGCTATACATTCTAGTTGATAGACCTCAAGTGACGTAGTTTCTGGCATTAGGTACAGTTCTTTGTTTGTGATTCAGTAGCACCAGTCTACGTGATACAGAGAAGGATGATCTTTACCAAGACTCCCAAGGCCTCACGCGCTCAACTTAATTTTTAATCATAGATCTTAGAAAGCGATTGTATACAGTTTAAATATTTCTGAACGTGTTTGACATCAGTATGAACGATTCGATCTGACAAGGCGATTCGATCTGACAAGGCGATTCGATCTGACAAGGCTATTTAAGAACATCACCCGAGTTTTCTCGCTGATGTTTGGTTTTGTAGTAATTTGCCATGTTAGGCGAAACTACATCTAGTGCAGTAAATTCTATGTTCAATTTCCTTTTCTCTTATACTAAATGTGTTATACTTTATCAACGTACCGAGGTACCTGAAGTGTTTAGTATTTACTAATTCCACATCCTGAATTTCTAAGATGGATTCGAAATTGCTCGAATACAGTCAGTACATTAGAAATTGTCTGGTAAGCTCGTAGTATTTTTACAGTTATAAGAATTGTGTCGTCATGCACATCTTGGTGTATTTATAAGGTTTGATCTGTCAAATTTCTACTCGTACGAAACAGAGGGAATCGTGTTCTTTTTTTCTTTGGCTTTTTCTTTTTCTTCGCTTTCTTTTTCATCTTCTATTTCTTCTTTTTCTTTTTCCTTTTTCTTTTCTTCTTTTTCTTTTTTATTTTTCCTCTTATTCTTTTTTCCTTCTTTTTCTTTTCTTTTCCTTCTTTTTCTTTTTCGTCTTATTCTTTTTTTTTACTTTTTCTTGTTCTTTTTCTTCTTTTCTTTTTCTTATTCTTTTCTTCTTTTTCGTTTTCTTTTTCTTTTCTTTCTCTTTTCCTTCTTTTTCTATTCGTTTTCTTCTTTTTCTTTTTTGTCTTATTCTTTTTCTTTCCTTCTTTTCCTTTTTCTTTTTCTTCTTATTCTTTTCCTTCTTTTTTTCTATTTCTTTTTCTTCTTTGTCTTTTTTTTTTCGTCGTCTTCTATTTCTTCCTTTTCCTTTATTTTCTTCTTTTTTCTTCTTCTTCTTATTTCCTGCGTCTCTCTCTCTCTCTCTCTCTCTCTCTCTTTAGAAATAGCAGTTTTAAAGTGATATAGAAGACAACATTCCAATAACCTCTTTATTCATTGGGAGTTGAGCTGCTCGGTGGGTGGGGGTCCGTCTTCTCAGACGCCCGTTCGGTCGACGGTTTGCCGGCTGTTACCAAATGTATACGACGCACCCATCTTTTATTAGCTCGGAAATATCTCTGCATATCGTTAATCCTGGGTTAATTTCAACAGGTCTCGTCCCACATCTTTGACGCCGTGACAAAACAGTGCTTCCTTCAACTGTGATCGACATTAAAACGCCTTCGATCATTTTATTTCTTCGTTCATTCATAATAATGTCGTATCAGTTCTTTCTGGAGAGGCATAAATCATAGAAAAACACCTGCCATCTATTATTTTGTCGATGTGCGCAAGGATCCAAGAAAGAAGGAAAAAAACGAAAACTTATTCGTTATAGTTCCTGTAAAGCAGAAAAAAAAGCAATCGATCAAATTCTTCAGAAGAATAGACAATTCACTTTCCAAATCAAGGAATGCAGTGTGTGACATATCTTACTAGGCTATTGGTGACTGTTGATCTCGGCAAACATATCAACATATATATCTCTCTCTCATATATATATATATATATATATATATATATATATATATATATATCGATTCTCCCGTCGGGTTCGACGTATGAGGGTCAAGCAGATCAGTTTCCAGGAAACTGACAGCCCGACGCCGGCACATGAGCTTCGATAATAGTGGTGAAGGTTTAGTGCAGGACCATCCACACTTTTTGAAGGGCCGAATACAGAGACCTGGTGCACTGCGTGCCACAAGGTCCCCAAACAACCCCCTCAGGTTTTGAATTCAGAGTTGTCCTTCTCCTAGGCCAGTTGCCATCCAAGGCTATAGAACCCAGTCTGTCCTGATATTTAACCCATAGCTGGAGGGAGAAGAATAGGATTCACACCTTTCCCAATGGTATTAACACGTAAGTGAATGTAATGGATTCAACCTCGGCTCTGCGATTCCACAATCCAAGCCGATATCCATTACCCCACCGTGCCTCCATATATATATATATATGTCATCCACATACAAGCCTGTTTTGGTGTATCACAAATAATCAGTTTCGCTAGACATCCGATTGCTTCAAGCCGGGATCGAAACACAATCGATTTGGCATCAGTCAGAGATTCTACCCCTAAGTTACACACACACACACACACACACACACACACACACACACACACACACACACACACACACAAGCACACACTGTCTATTTAATTTTCTAGTTTCAAAGTTTTCTCATTTTTCACATAAGATGCTCTGTACAACGAGATTATCATTGTGGATAAACTCTTTATTTGTTCAAGTACTTTTGACCGTCTTAGTCATTGTCAAGAACTGATTGCTTTCAGTGTGGCGGACAAGATTTGCGGGGGGGGCATCCAGTGAGTTTGGGGATACCCGCTGATTCCAATTAGTCCAAAATGTAAAACGGTAACAAGAAGCTAAAGAATCAAATATTTATATGATTCTTTTTATTATATTTTACACAAGAGATAAATAAAGTGAAAAGTATTGAAACAAAAGAAAAAGAGATACTGATCAAATGAAATGCGGGTATGTATGGAAAGGCATTTAGTGCATTAAATTACTCTATGGAAAGAGATATCTCAAGAAAGATTTTAAAAAAGAGGCTGCGGTAGACAATTTTGGGGAATTCTTTATTTTCTTTGCATGTGAGACTATTTCATTTATAGTTATTTCATGTATGTATAACAGAAGAAAAAATACGGACGGGGAATGAAAATTTGAAAAGATAAGGGAAAGATTGAGAAAATACAGGTGAAGAGTTGGACGAAAGGCTGGATGATGGATAATGTTAGCTGTTAACATGTTTGGCATTTTCGCGGGTCCACTTATTAGGCAACTATTTAGAAAGACGCATAAACAAAGAATGCAAGGGAAAGATACAAAAAGAAAGAAAAAACTAGAAAAATATGAAAGATTATAGAACCAAAGAAAGGCTGTCGTATCATTAACACCATTATGTCGGTATATACATATGCATAGATTTAAAGCGTGCATTTTAATAATTTTTTGCGCGTCATTGAGCATATGATTAAAGTCATGCATTCACAGACACACACACACACACACACACATATATATATATATATATATATATATATATATATATAATATATTAATATACATACAACTATAATGCAATTATGCGCGTGAAATGCATGCCGTGAACAAAAATAAAAATAAGTTTCTGTTAATCAACTGATTTTGTGTTCTTAGTGCATTTGCCAAGGCGTCAACGGCCAATTAAGAGGAACGTAGATTTGGCTTAGCGCCAAAGTAAGAGAGGCCATTTTATATTTGTACCCATGAACACCAGCAGAAAATGATACAATAAAGAAAAACAAAAAAAGAAAAGAAAAACAATTGGGGGTGGGGGCTGTCTCGTTGGCCAAGTTGGTTCTTGTTACCTAACACACAGAAATAAGAACATTAGGGTCCATTGTACTTATGTTCTTATTATATGAACTTCCTCACAGGCAAACATGCATATATATATATACATATATATATATATAATGCAAGACTCTTCGGTAAATCGAATTGAGTTCTCTCAGTCACTGGGTGTTTATCTAAAAATAAATACACTTAAAATTCACCTTCATCCCTGCCGTGCGCCAACGGCTTAGTGGTAGAATCCCCGACTGACGCCAATTCAATCGGGTTTCGATCCTAGCTAGAGGCAACTGGATGTCTAGCCACACTGATGAGCTGTGATACAGCGAAACAGTCTGTCTGTGGATAACTATATATATATTGGCAACATGTTTTCATTGAGATATATTTCATTGAATAATTTAGACATGTTTTGTCTACCTATTTTTAATTGGATCCTTTCATATTCACGGATAAGATTCTTGTCGTCGTTAAAGGAAGGACAAGAGAAAATCGCTGTGTTGATACATATTTCTTTTATTTTGAGTACTTTCGACATAGCACAATGTCATCATTAGGGCATTGTTTATTGCAAGACAAATATTGTAGTGTTCATTATTATCGAACTCACTTCTTACTTGCTTCCCTGGTGGCTATAATTTTCAAATATTCAAATGTAATGTCAATCGACATATCCTGACGCCTTAACCTTGTTCCCCGTCCTTCTCTTTATCCTTTCCTCTTTACTCTTGCGTGCTAGTGGCATTCCCGGCTTGCTTGGGGTGAAATACTTATGTATATATATATATATATATGTGTGTGTGTGTGTGTGTGTGTGTGTGCAAAATAGGATACAGCAAGTTTTGAACAAATGTGTCCAATGTAAAACGGTTTCACTGAAATTAGATTTAATTACACTATTTACATTATTCGGACTATTGTCCTCATATTTATTAAAACGTTTCGGCCGTTGTACTCTCCGGATTTTTCAGATGGTTGGAATGTCGAACTGAACCCTTTATTTCGATAGACTCTTCTAGTTCCACGTGCCATGTCTAATGGGTGTCAGTTATCTCCCGTTAATCCCCCTCTCCACTGCCTTAACCGGGTATTGAACTCACAACTCTCTGTACCTTGTCACTGGATCTAACCAACGCCGTTATCCACTGTGCTATGTGTCCTTAAGTACAGATACTAGATTTAATTATGCGTTTCGACTTTCTAGGCTTCATCAGATCAGAAAACAAAAGAAAGAAATATGGGACTGTATATACTTAAATAATATATATATATATACACGTGTCACACACATATATATATATATATATATATATATATATATATATATATATATATATATATATATATATAGAGAGAGAGAGAGAGAGAGAGAGATTAATTAAACGTTATTTTTAGGGAATAAACAAATTTGAGTATATTCTCTGTTATTATCATCTACCAGCCTAAATATTCAAGAAATTTTCAAGAAATCTCACTAGAAAATATGATTCTCCGGCAGGATTCGAACTTGCGTTCCCCTAGTAAGAAAAGTAAGTAATTAAGTAATAAAATATGTTCGATTAATAAATGAAAAAAAAATTGTCTTTCTTTCGTTAGGATATGAAAATGAGTTCAGATATATATTTCCAGAATCGGGAAAGATGTGTTTTTAAAAGCACTAATCGGGCTTTGTTTAGCCATCAGGTTCTCTGTAGTCGAAATGTCAAAACACGTCATGTCTAATGACGGTTTCCCCTAAAGGAACGCAGGTTCGAATCCTGTTGGAGAGAGAGCACATTTTTCTAATAAGATTTCTCCAATATTCAGGCCGATAGACAACGATAATGTATTGTTTAATAAATAAACAGAGTATTTACTCAAATATAGGTATCAACTAAAAATGACATTTATTTAATATATATATATATATATATATGCACATTTCATTGAATACTATAGACAAGGTGCTTTTATTTAGTTTTTTATACAATTTCTCATGCGATCTAATAATTTTTTTCTTTTCGGATGATAAATTATATATTAGATCTCATTTAAATATTCATGGAAACCTTGCGGACACTATTCGTAATATACTCGTTGACAACACTAATATAATAGCATCATCTACATGCAAAAAAGGCTAAAAATAATGGAAGCCTTATTAATAAAAACAAAAAAATCAACACATAATAAAAATATTAACTTTGAACATGGATATAATATCTTGACTGTGTTTTGAAAAATGAAAACATTTTATAAAATATAAATACAACAAACTATTTCTTATTTAACAGTTAAAATATTTAATCCTTGAAAATGGCTAAATGTATAGCCGAAAGCGCTCCGATAAAAAGAACAAAATGTTTTTATATAATTTATAATCCGAAAAGAAATAAATTATGAGATCGCATGAGAAATAGCATGTCTCTGTATGTGTGCGTATGCATATTCTATAATAAAATGAATAAGAACGCTATAAGTACTGTGCACGATGTAAAATATTGAAAATATATATAAACAAATGCAATATAAGAAATATATATATATAAAAAAAAAAA